ACAAGTTCATGCAGTGAAGCCTGAAGAAAAGTTGAAAGCAGGACTTGCCAGCTATTCAACCTGTTATCTCTATACTGTTTAGAAAGAATTCCGTTAAGAGCTAAGAGCTCTTGGCACTCACAGTTGCTTGTTGTGACGAGGAAAGAAGTTGTTATACAGAACTTGGGGTTTTACTGGGTGAGATTTTATGGCTATGACTATATTGGAGTTAGAAAGAGATTGTCTCAGGGAGTTTTATAGAGCAGGACGATTTTTTTGCGTAGGGTTTTGTTTTATTCTACCAATTTCACCCAGCTGAATTTAAAGGAGTGGGGGTGACAGCTAAGCTCCTTAGGACAGACATAATGATGTGTGGGCTGTTAAGTGAGATTATTAGAAATAATCCCTCTGATATAGGCAGTATATATAATGCCACAGAGAGCTCTTGCTTCAACATGTGGCACACTTTAGCATCGTGATCTAGAGGCTGTCTAAGTTGTGAGCCAAGAGTGTGGATGCGCTGCAGGTAAGCGAGTCACCTTCCAGTTCCTTCAGGGCTGCCCTTGGCTTTGGAACTTCAGGTCAGATGGATATATCCTATATTCTGCAAAGGACTTTGTTGCACCAAGGTCGTGATACAGTTTGGACAAGGTCAAGAGCTGAAGAATTGAAGTGGTGAGAGCTACAGAAACATGACTGGAGGGGTCCGATCCAGGTTCCCAGCCTGCTTTCAAGTACAACGTGCCAAAATGTTGAAGGTGACTAAAGCTTTCCCTCTACAGGAAATGAAATGATTCTGTTTAAGAGTGAAGGGCCTTTAAGTCAACACAGGCCTAATCAAAGGCTCACGACCCCTTCAGTGCAGCAGATGACCACGCAGCGCTGTATTTATCTATGAGCTCTGAGAATATGTGTGGCTTACCCCGTGCAATTTCAGCAGCAAGTAAATATTTCCAGCCACATTCAGAATGTGCCTTAGAAAGGACCTTAAAAAGACGCCAATGGGCGTCTTAAAATGACCCAATGGGCCATTGCAAATACCCATCTTGAGCAATAAAAGGTGAAGCACACCTGTGGGGCTGGAGTTAGAAATCATGCTTCCCACTGAGCTCAAAAGAAAGTTTGTGCATTCCTGCTGCACAAGGTCATTTCATGTATTGGAGGCTGATGTCCTGTGCATTCAGAGGAACAAATCCTCTGGTCGTGTAAAGCATCCCCAGCTCCACAGAGCAGCTATGACAATTTACACCAGCTGAGGTGCTGCTCAGCGTTTTCAGTTATGGGCATTATTTACTCTTGGCTAGTTAGAGTTCCTCTGGAGCTGTTGCAACACAGGGCGGGTGTAAATCTTTCTTTAGATGCCTTTGGAGCTCATAGAAGATGGCATGCCTATCTATAAAGTGGAAGTATCCTTAAGCATATGCCTGGTGTAACCTCACAATGGTGTTGGAATAATCTGTAATACAAATACTTTTACCGAAATGAAGATTTCCAAATGCAAATTTTGCCCACTAAAAAGATACGACACAGGATAGTTGCATAGTGAATTGCAGATCATAGAATGATCACTGTGTTTTCACATCTGTCTCTTCAAGCACTGAGGTCCCAGAACAAAGCTAGTTCCTCATCCACCCAAGTGTGCTGTGCCAACTTATTTGTTTTTAAAGTTGCTTAGTCAGGGCATAGTGTCAGCCACTTTTTAAATTGAAATAAGTTTGTTACAGTTAAACAGCAGCTGCATGTAGACAACACCTGAAGTGCTGTCACAGAGCATGAGATTTCAATGCCTTGTGGGCTTGGTATGGAAACTGTCCTTTAGAAAACTGTTTCTAAGTAACATAAAGGAGAAAAAGTAGGTCCAAGTCAAAGAAAAAATATTTCCTTAGCAGTTTCTGGTTGTAACAGTGCTAAATTACAGTGTAACTTCCCAAGAGTGTCCTCCCAGGTTATTTATACTGTAACACATAAAATCATTCCATTAGTGAGGTGGCTATTTTTGTAATCAGTTTTGAAGAATGTGCTCCATCATCGGAAATGTTTTGATTTAAGTGCATATTGAGGAGCAGTCTAAAAGTTACACTCTGAATTACTCCTTAAAATAAGTCACCTGGTACATTCATGCAATGTGGGTTGCATGTTGGCTCTGTGTAATTAAATTCTTGTCTAAAGTTGTCATTAAGTTGCAGTAAATATCGAAGCCAGCATCATTTTAGAATTAGATTTACTTCTTCATTTTATCTGATGAATATTCAGCAATGGAAAATTAATTAAAACGTGCATGCATACGTATAAGAGGGTTGGGCTGGTGGTTTCAGCTGATGGAGGAGCCAGACTGACAACAGCCTCTGCCAGCCTGGAGATAGCTGGGGGAAGTGCAGAGAAAGGCACAGGGTACTGCACAAGGCTTGTTGGGGGATGGAAACCTCAGGCCCTCTCCCTCCTTCTCCTGTTCCTAGGTCAAAGATAGCACCAGATTTCTTTACTAACTAGTGAACCCCTAGACTTCCTATTAATAAAGAAAATTGGGCAAATTTGGAGGTTGGCAATAATCTTTATTTCTATGTGCTGAAGCCATCATGAGTGCAACGCTACCACTGAATGAAAGGAATAGGGAAATCTCACTAGCAGACTAGGAGATAGGAGTCCTTTAGAGAATATAAAAAACAATGATGGTTTTTAGATCCTTGATGGAACAGAGAGAGTTGATGGAAAAGGAAGTCTCAAAAAATCCCTTTATCTCCAGAAAAGCTCAGGTGTGCATTCCTTCTTACCAGTCACTTGGGTATCCATGCTGCATTCTCATGCTATAAATGACTCAGCTGAAGAATCTTCAGTTGCAACATTCATCTTTTCGAATCTTAATTAGTTTGTAAGAAATCAGGCTTGATTACTTTCAGTGCTCACAAAAGCAATTGTGATTTTTCTGGAACGTGGACAGGCAAATTGCTGTGATGACACATATATATCCGATGCGTCTTCCAAGAATCTCTCTCTCCTTGCATGACTGTTTGAGTCTCTCCATCTCCCAAATGTATGCTTGTTTGACATTTTTATAACTAACAGGTGTTTTATGTAGCTTTGTTAGAGCCTCAGACTTTCTCAAGAAAGTGAAAAAAGGGTTTGTCATTACCTGGTCTGCTCTGATTGACATTATCTTAAACCATCTCCAAATTTCTTTCCACTCACCTCCATAACTCTTTCTGCAGGCTGTCCTCCAACTTTTCTTCATATCTGTGTGGTTATCTGTTAGAAAACTGTTACTTAGATAGACTTTTTAATGAGTTATATTATCAGGATTTGACACTCTAATGCAGTTTGCTCAAACTTTCTTGATCTCTATAAATTTTTGTCAGTGATGTGGAGCCTTTCATAAATTTCACAAGCATAGATTGTTGTACAGCATATATGATCGTGCTGTTCTCATTCACCCTGATGCCTCCTTCAAAGGCAGGCCAGATATCCCCCTCAACATCTACAGATTACAGATTGCACAGCCTTACCACATCAAATGCCATATCCTTAAATGTCAGGAGTGGATGACTTATGCCGTAGAAAATATCTGAGTTTAAGAACTAAACTAAACCAGAAGTGAATGTAAATTTGAAACCTAGGAGATAGCTCCAGTCTCCTGTACAGGGGCAAGAAGTCTGATGTGGAAGCCTTAACAGGACAAGATTCCTAGCAGTTGTATTATAAATGCAACCTTTCTCCATCAGAAACTTCAAAAAATGTGCGTAAACAATTTCTGATAAACGCAGTGCTCTTTTAGTAGATTTATGTGCTAAAGACAAGAACTACTTACAATAATGAAATGCAATGGGCTCAATTCTCTGCTTGCCTGAGTCACTCCATTACCTCCAGAGCTGGAAGGAAATTGCAGCAGGAGGAGAATCAGGCCCTTAATGGTCTGCAGGCTGCCATGCTGCCGTTACACGCAGACAATAGTCAAAGAAATTTATATTTAGTTCCACGAGAACAGTACATTAGGTATTCCTAAGTGTTTTATGAGGCAGGACTTTTCTGACTGTTCTGACAAAAACAAGCATGCGTAGGAACCGGAGCTTTGAGCAAATATTGCAGTTATGATTTACAGCACAATTGCCGGAGTCCTCCTGGCTTCATCCTTGATGGCTACTTACTCAGGCTGTCATTTTTAGCTCCACAGATTCTATCTGCTATGGCCTCTTCTACAAACACTGGATTCACTGGAGTGTGGTACAAACAATGCAGCTCTCAAACAATGAAGCATTTGTGTTCATTTTCTTCTATTTTATCTTTGGAATTCTACTATTTAGGTCACTATCTGTTGCTTCCAGCTATTCTTTCCTGACAAATTGTAGCTCTTTTTAGGCTTAAAAAAAGATATAATCAATGAATTCATCTATGTTATTCCTCTGGGTATAAAGGTCTAGATGTAATAAGTGGTACACATAGTATAAGATTACACTGCCATTCCTGAAGTGCAGCCCCAAGATTAATTGTGCTTTGTAGACCAAAACTTTGAGAGCTGCTGGATGCTTGCCTCTTTGAAAATCTGACATAAATAACACAATAAAAAAAAGTCACCAAATTTCTCAAATGCTTTAAACAGGGTCCATTCACCAGCATGAACTGAAAGGTTGTGTATGAATAGATGTATTTTCTAAAATATACAATTTTAGATATAGGTAAGAATAATGATGAATAGGTTCTTTACTCCACTATACCTGTCTATGTAAAATGAAAAATCAGCACAGGGTTTAGCTGAAAAAGATAATCCTTGGATTTTAGTGAGAAACATCCCTCACAGCAAGATTATTTCAAAGGCCATGAAATAAAAGTGATACTCAGGTATGGGGACATACAGGATTTCCATTTCCATTTAAACTGAAGCCTACTGATTGCTCATGTAAAAATTACTGTGCTCTGAATGAAATGAAGATGAGTCCTTAAGCAAACAGTCATAAATTAATTTATAATGAAACATGACAGTCATAATTTAATTTGGGTTGTATTTAAGATTGTTGTTACTATTCGTATAGGTCCTTTTTGCCTGGAGGAAGATGTGGCTTCATAGCGGAATGGCAGCTATTGAAATACCAAACTTTTCACACGTACATGTGTATTAATTAATTGCAATCATGTAGATACTTTCCTAACGAAGAACTGTTGTTTCCTGCAAGCAGTGAGACAAGAGCTTGCATGACTGAGGCTGGCACACGCAGTATTGATGGGTTGCCAAGAAGGGTGCCGAGCAAAATGTGCAGAATCTGTTGGGTTGTGGGGCTGCTTCTCCCCTTCCTTCCTCAGGGTGAGCAGAAGGGGTGGACCAGGGCAGCAAGCAGGAAGGATGCAGGTTTTGTGCTTCTCATCTGGTCCACGTAGATTCCAGCTGCCCGTGTACATCACAGCAGCTGTCTGGGCCCAGCACCACAGCCCTGCAGTTTCTGCTCAGCTGATGGCTGGTTTTGTCAGCGCAGAACTGAAAGGCACTTTGGGCACCTGAAGTCTGAGCTGCCCTCTCTGTGTCTGGCCTGTGCCCATTGGGGTAGCTGTACCCCTATGATGCTGTTTGTTCAATGTGGGATTAGGCTAGGTTAAGCTCTTGCCTGCCCACTGCCATGTCTTAGGATCATGGAATATCCCAAGTTGGAAGGATCACTGAGTCCAACCCCTGGCTCCATGCAGCACCACCCAAACCCGACGTTGCTGCCCTCCGCTCCCTGCGAGGAACTGCAGCCACCATGGTGCCTCCCCTCAGCTCCTCTGCTCTGCACTGAGAAAACCCAGGGCCCTCACTGCTCTGCCTGCTGGGCTGCTCTGTGTTCAGTATCCTAGGAAGGATATGAATGTGGTTTTTCTTCTTTCTTTTTTGAGATAAAAATACCTAACATGTGGAATTTTGCTGTTGATATTGTAGATGTTGATATTCTTTGTAGTTATTCCTATGCCAAAATGAGTCTTGCTTTTGCCTTCACTGACTCCACCAATGAAACTGTAATAGCTTTTCACTTTGACCAGAGATTCCAGTAAAAGTGGTATAGAAAGGTTCTAGTTTTAAACCAAGAAACAATTTCTCTGTTTCTAATAGCACGAAGTCACAAAAAGACTCTTTAGTTTGTTAATTGGAAGATGATACAGTAGGGCATTTTGGGATAATAAAGGTGTGACCAGAAGAATCTTATTTAGTCTTGACATCAGTTAAGAAATCACGATCCCAAAAAACTTGTGATTTCTATTTGGAAAACAGTGTTTAACAAAGGCCAAATTAAAGGCCTTGAATTGGAGCATCTATGCTAAAAAATAGGTATTTATGAAAAGAAGAAGTCAAAGCCCGACTGTAATGATTATGTTAATGGGGGACAGCAGTGGATGCACTAGCTGTAAACTGTCAAAAAGATGTTTCACGCTTACTAGCAAATACCCTTCAATCATGGTTATGCAGCACATAGGAAGTGACCAGGTAAGCAAGTGACAGTAATTCATCAAAAGGTTGATTGCATCTTCCTCCAATTGCAAAGGGCTCTTTGCATATCTCTTCTAAGAACAGAATTCCCCTCATTGTGCACTAAGGTCTTTTCTGCAGCTCCAAGTGGGATGGTCAGATCAGTAACAGGATGAGCAAATGCTGGGTCAGACCAGCATCATTTCAGGACAGCCCCAGTGCCTTACTATTGCCTGTGCCTGAGATCCCTTCATCATCAAACTCTTATTGGGATAAATACAATGTTTGCAACCATGACTTAGTTGGGTTTCATGTGTCTGTCATATGGACCTGCAAATCTAAACTGTTAGAACACTGCCAGCAGAGGTTCCACAGCACGCTATTTTATGTTATCTGATCTGTTAAGTGTGTCATTGTGGTGAAGTTTTCTGAAAGGCTGAAACCATTTTTTCTGAGTTAACTTTTTCAGATCAGGAAGCCGATCCAACTCATCATTTGTTGCAACGGCTGGAGCTGGCAGGACAGGGAACTGCAGCCAGAAACTGCAAGTAATGCTCATTTGGCACCAATAGGATCTTTGGTGGACTTCAGGATTTGATTTTATAATGCACTGATTAGCACCAGCGATGGTGGTTAATATAAAGCACCTTCAGTAGTTTGAAAAACAACATAGCAGAGTATTTATTCCAGGACCCAACTGCAGATGGTCATGCTTAGAACCATCTAAGCATCCTATGGAAAGGATTTTTAGTTTAAACTGACCACAGGAAGTGGTTTGCTACCACTATAGGTAGAAAAGTGAGGCGTGGAGTAACTGAATAAAACACAAAATAAAACTGTAAGGTAAAGTCAATAGAGAATTGCCATTGCGCCTCCTTTTACCAATTTCTCCAGTATTTTTCAGAACACACTAGGGAAATATTAAAAAAAAAAAAGTTTAATAACAATTTACAAATATACAATACTTACATTTTCAAAAGTTACAAAAATGGTACATTTAACAGAAACCAAAAGCTTCATCTGACCTTTGGTACATTTCAAAGTTAGTTATTTACAAAGAAAAATCAGTCACTTTTCATAGTGTCACATGTTTACATGTAAGCATCCCTCAGTTAAAAAACATCTCACAGCTTACCCACAGGCACTTTTTGCAGTTTGAGCTCTGCACCCATCTATCACATTGAGAATTCTATCAGCCCCCGTGAAGCTGACATGATATTGCATTATTATGTTTTAACAGACTTCAGTTTGAAGAATACGTATAACCATCACGCTGAACTGATTCACAGTTGGTGACATTTCACCTGGTGCATTTTGTATTGCTTATGGTTTGGTACAATGACATAGGCTTCCTTTTCTAATTAGCTTGTAACACACGTTAAGAAACAAAAATGGACTAGCTTTATTAGGTAGGACAATTCCATCTCTTCGTAGAGGAAATTAAAAACAAAAGCGTTCTTCCCTTGCTGTTATTTCACCTCATGAAATTTGTATATTAAACCCTTTCTTCACCATGCACAATTTTTGCCTAAAGGTAACAAACAGATCAAGGCTTCCAAAATCTATTCATTTCTATGACTTTTCCATTAGTGGACGTTTTTTAGTTTGCACTTATTTTAACTCAAACTTTAGAAATTTCCCTTGAGAGCAAACACAAGTATTGCATTGCCTGCGTGTTCTTTGAGTGTCATCCTTTAGCTTAAAATATTTCCAGTGAAAGAAATGCAGCCAAAATACATACAGCCCATTTCTGAAGCCTCTTACTTCTTAGCGTACACCATTTTTTTCATGTGGTCATGATTTTTAGAGCATGTAACTTCAGTGCCTAACAGAATGGGAACTCAAAAAGCCTGGAAATTCATTGTTTTGAGGACAGTGTGGGACTACACGTTTCCCACAGGTATGTTTTAATTAAGACTAAATGCCACCAGGATATCAGTAACGGCTCAGGATTGGGATCTTTTTTTAAATCAAGAAATAAGAAAAGCTTGCTGTCAGCAACTGTGGGCACAGTTTAAAATGTCTTCCATCGTTACAACTTTGCCCTCCCAAGAACTTAGAAACTCCAGTCAAACTGAAGCATCTTTTAAGAATGCCTGCATTCTGGATTTCCTTCGTGCAAGAGCTTCTTGTTTTTTTCTTTCAATTTCTTCTTGAGAACATTTTCTGTGTTTCTGTTCCACCATAGACACTGTAAATAAAAAACATACATTTAGGACCCTACAACTTTTTTTTTGTTTGTTTTGTTTTTTCCAATATTTATTTCAACTCATCTGTTTTCAGTGTGTGAAGATACATAGCAAGAGCACGCTATTGTGACATGCCAGGCACCCAAGCCCATCTATCCTGTCCCCAGGGCAGAAGGGGGATAAGATGCATGACCTTTGCAGTGCTGCTGATTACTACCTCGCAATGAAGGTATGGGGGGGGGGGGGTGCAGACATTTGCTTCAAGGAAATTTTAGTTGGCTGCCCTTCAAGTGAACCTTGTGACAAGAGGAGTCAACACAGGAGACGGCAGTGGGTTAAGAAAATTAAGGCTCTTGGAATGAAAAGGGCTCTACAATTTAGTGAGTCAGAGAGATGGGCATCGAGATGGTATAGACACAGGGTCAGATATAGTACAGGTGTCACACAAATAAAACCAGAAAGGTTGAAAAAAGGTCAGAAGGAGCAATAAAAATTGTCAAAGGAGACAAGAACATGATAGCTAAACGTAATATTTTATATGTTGTGTTACAGAACTATAAATTCCTGTACAATAAAATCCTGACCTCATTGGAACCAACAGGAAGGCTCCCATCATTCTTCAGGTCAAGAATTTTACCATTTTTATGCACTCATTTTCAATTAATGTATTCATAATAAGTAGTTTTCCAGACTGGATAAACACAACAAAGGCTCAATTTGATTCTTAAGATGATTTACAGATGTCCATTACATATTAGTTTTTGCAAAGACTGCTTAATACCCAGCCTTCCATTGCAGCAAGGTCTTTTCACAAACAGCTTAAGATAGAGGGAAGTTCTGTTGTTTCTCTGGAAATAAAATCTAAGCTAAGAGAGCACTTTCTATTTCATAAATACATTCTCTAAAGCATTCTGCAGAATGACAATTTAACTTCCCCCCCCCCATCCAAAATGGTTTATTTCCATTTGTCTACTTCTTTGCTGGGTACAGAAAAGATAAAATAGTGATTCTTTACATAATGCTGGCTGATGGTTTCCAGGAATTACTTTTTGTTTTTATAACAGCACTTCCTAGCAATTGAGGTTGATATAGTACACTTCAAAAGGCCCATTTTATCAAAATTAGTACTAATAAATACTCTACCAAGCAATTAGGTCAAGAGAAAGTGAGGACTGACTGAAACTTGGCTTGTTCCACATTTCTCTAGCGAATAACAGTGCTTAGAATATTGCAGACCACTTCAAAACGGTCTGGTCTAGTGACCATCTGGGAGGGTAAATAAAAGGAAGCGTTAGTGTTTGGGCTGATTACACAAGGAATATTTCACTGGCAATTCTGGTCACAGAGCAAATAACAATACACGCCTCGGTTTCAGAATGATTCGAGGTTCCAATTTCCAGGCATACAATAAAAAGAAATTGGCATTCTGTATCATTTGCTGCCTTTTCCCTGCCCCACCATAAACTGGGGTTTTAAAATCATGGCTGAGATAAATAATTTTTAATGTTTTTTTTTTTTTCTTTCCCAAAACATACTGCTAATTCAAGCACTGACTTGCACTACAGCACTCACTGCGTACCAAAATGGTTTGAAGTAACTCAGAGCACAGTATGCTGAGTGCTGCCATCAGAGTATACCTGATTCTAGTGGTTCTGAGTGGCTATGGAGTATGAAGATTTCTGAGAAGCGGAACAAAAATAGGAAAGAAAAGTCCTTAACTACAGGAATTCAAGAAATGTGTCAAGGCAGTTTTAAGTTTGGAGAAAACAACTTCCAAATTCTCATTAGTACATTTACTATTGCCTAAACTGAATGGATAAATATTGAAATCTATTTTAAGTTGAAACGTGGCATAAACTTATCCTGTAACTTTCTGTGCACAATGAGGAAAAAAATAACAACAGAAAAGCAGTTCAGCAGTGATTCAATATCTAAGGCACGCACCTGATGTAGGCAATGCAAAAGACTCTGAAAGGTGCCTCTTGAAAGGTGGTTTTGTATTTTCAGGCTTGCTGTGCGAGGTCACATTCACCTGATTCTTACTTCCTTCCAAACCCTGAAGAGCAATTCCAATGCCAGAATGACTCCCTGGATTTTCAGGCCCTACATGAAGAGCTCTCTGAGAACTGTCAGTCTTTCGAAACTTAAACTTTGAAGGCAGAAGTGACATGCTGTTACCGGAGCTGTTATTTGGCATCTTTCCTGTATTATACAAAAGATGTTGGCTCTCTAACGATTTGCTACAAAAAATGTTTATTGCATTAGCTGGGCTTGCTTCAGAACTAGTTTCTTTTGCCGGCACAGAGTTTGACCTATGCCATTTTCCTGAAGCACTCCTTCTAGTATCTTCAGAAGCAGCTTGATGATAGTTTTTTGACAGTGTGTATTTACTCTTCGCTGAAGTACCAGAGGTCGCTGTTAGAGGATTCAGTACGTTTTTACAGTTTGCTACGTGCCCTGTTGCAGTCAGCCCATGTGTAACCCTTGAGTTCCTAGAGTTGTCTAGTGAATGACCATCCTGCTGTGCGTTTCTTTGTTGTGCTGAGGGGTGATCAGATAGTCCTGGTTTAGATGCTGCAAAGCCACTGTCAGCATTTGATCTGGATTGAATACTGGCTCCTTGTATTGTTTTAGTTCTCTCGCTTCCTTGTTTAACATCCTGGTTCTGAGTCTGCTTTTCTACATCATCACATACCTGATACAATAATTCATCGTCCTCGCAGTTTGCATCCCAAAGACTATCAGATTCACAAAACATGTCTAAAACCTCATCAGAGAATTTTGGTTCATTCCAGTCATCAAATGACAGAGGACATTTCTTTGGTATTTCAGCTGGATTTAAGTGACCTGTATTGACATTAGGTTTCGTATTGGTAGAAACACTGGTTGATTCACAGAAAACAATGTGTGTGTCATTCCCAGGTTTT